CATAACAATACAATACTTGTGCTTTGATGTACAACATTACCAGACAACTTACCGGTCTCCCAATCACCAACTTCTTTTGAAAAAAACTTTCTTAGCAAAAAATGAATTGTCACTATACAACTGCAACGAATACACCTAAAGCTGTTTTATTTAGTAAAAAGTTAAGAAAAAAAAGATCAGAAAATACAGCATACTAAAATAGCCACTATACTTCTGCCATTCCCTTCTCCTCACTATTAGTAGCAATACAAACTGCAAACCTTTTTTGACCGACACTTACAGTCCAAAACAGTCGCGTTATAACGATACCTATAACGCGCAAAAAGCAAGAAGAATTTTGAAAAATTTATTAACATCAATGTTAAAAATCTTTGTTCACACTTTTCTACCATAAAAAAAGCATTAGAAAATTTAATTCTCAGAAAAAACCAATCTTCCCAATTGAAATTTTCAAAAGCGCAAATGCTCAATTTACCACTCCGACAACAGATTACGAACTACAGAATACCTATGTCACTGCGACTTTGAGACAACTTTTTAAATCCCTTTCCCGCTTCATCAGTAAAAATATGGCTACAAAAGTGTGTAAAACAATAAAAATTACCCAATATATAAACAGCATTAATAATCTTGCAAAGATTTCAAATATAAAGTCATTGACTGCACACTTTCCACTGGTGACCTTTAGCCATTATCACTGTTATACCTGCTGTACAAACTTTCATGTCAAGGTGAGTAAAAACCAATTACATGACAACGACGACTCGTGTCGAAAAATAAACCGTGTTCCCACTGACATCAACCTTTACCAGTACATTAACCTCTAGTCAACAGATACTGAATATTACACCCGCCACCAAAAGATTGTGAGGAAGAAGCGTGGAGAAGCCAGTAATCCTAACGTTTTGCAGAGTCCTAGCAATTTATCGCAATGGAAACATTAATATAGGACCGAACACAACCAAGCAAACATTAGCCACGTTCCTTCGTGCTGTTAAAATTTAAAAAGCTGGATTCACTAGCGTCCTCTCGATGCACTTTTGAATTCCCTAAGTACGAAATTCCTATTGTAGATTGTTTCCAGCGAAATGCGCGAGTAATTTAACTTGAAAAACATAAAATTAATTATAAAACGACTGGTACAATCAAAAAAACAAGAGCCTTATTAAATTATCAACATGAAACAACTGTCTTAGACATTCAAATTAATAACTGAGAAACTTCACTACAAAATTCAGCAAGCTTCAAATTTTAGCAAGACCTGGGTCAAAAACTGACTGACTGAACACCCGGAAAATCAATGAAATAAACTAAAAAATTACAAAAAAAATCCAAAAATTAAAGCGATTCTTCCTACAGTAGTGTTCCAGACTTATAAAGGCTCAACTATATTAAGGAGCCACAAGTACAGAATTCAGAAATAGAGGTACTTTGCTACGAAATATTAAAAAGAAATATCCAATATAAAACTAAAAAAACTAGTCCTAAATCATAATTTTCCAAGTTAATAAGGTGTTTGATAAGTGGTAAATTAATAAAACTACTCATGTTCTGCTTCTGCTTCTTCTTTTAAGAAAACCTCGTAAGCCTTCTCATCCATTAAAATGTCAAGCTCCTTCGGATGGTTAACAGAAACCTTGAAAAGCCAACCTGAAAAAATCATTAGTTCACCTAAAATGTACTTAACGAATTGAACCTTGTTTTAAAAACAAACGAAAAATCCTTTCCAAATTAAAAAGCTTTCAAAAACCAAATATTAATGACGATATGAACCTTTGTCATAGCATGATTTGTTGATTAACGATGGGTTGGCTTCAAGTTCATTATTCCTTTCAATAACGGTTCCTGAAACGGGAGAGTATACGTCAGATGCCGCTTTTACGCTTTCTACAGCAGCAGCTGCATCCCCAGCGACCAACTCCGTGTCTATCTCCGGTAATTCAGCATAAACAATGTCTCCAAGTAAGCTCTAAATTCATTTGACACTGAAAAATCTTAAAAATAAATAAATATTATTGTATTTAAAAAGATAATTAAAGGCAAAGATATTTTTTTACCGCTATATCAAAGCAAAGGTTATAGAATAAAATAATAAATCAAAGTCTTCTAACAAAAGATATTTTTAATAATCAGTCTTAAAAACCCAACTTATCCTGACCTGTGCATGAGAGCTGATCCCAACAGTACCGACTTTGTCTTCAACAGTAATCCATTCGTGTTTCTTCGTATAAAGCCGTTCTGCAATTTGAATTTTTACAGTCCCTTTCAGGTGAGTGACATAGTTTCGTCAACTCCAGATTTATGAAGAGAGGCTCAATCACATTATTCCCTAGATAGTTTTACTCATGAAGCAATGTAATACTACCATTAGGCATTCGTTATGCTTAGTGTAATTCATTATTTTCCTGTCCATCTGCACCATTCAATAAGTAATGGCAAAATTGCAATTGCAAAACCAGCTTCAACTTCAAAAAAACAATTTGAATCTGATACCAGACAAAAAACGCTGACTGGTGAAAACAAAAAAAAACTGGATATTCTTATCTTCACAAGTCTAATGCGTATTTCTAAACCTGAATGACAACCTCTTCACCCAAAAAAATGAACCTAAAAATAAGAGAAAAGACAGTGCTGAGGATACAGAGAATTTACTTACAATCAAAATTCTTGGCCAATTTTCAGATTACTTCTGAATTCTAACTTTTAAACAGCCTCAAAAAATGTAGTTAAAGAAAACGGAACAACTAATAACAGTAAAGAGTTTCCACTTTCGTAAAAAACTGCCGCTATAACGTCCTGGCGAAGCAATAAGATTTAATAATTACCTGAAAGAAGAGATGGAGTTGATGACAGTGAACGTACGAATTTGCTACGTAGACCAGTAACTACCATCAAGCGAGGTAGCGACGACAGTCGAGTCAAGAGTACCATCTTCACCCCTTTAACAGCATTTGTTAATTAAGTTCTAAGGTAATGACAAACTTTAAGGCGTTCCATTCAAATAATCCCTTAGGATGTTCATCAAAAAGCAGAACGAAGTATCGTTTACTAAGTAGCCGTCAAACAATGTAGACAAGGCTTCAAAAAGACAATTAAAAGAAACTTTTTACATTTTAACAGTCGTCTTCCTGCTTTGAACTAGACACAAAGTCCGAAATTCATACGCAAAAAAAAACTCCTCTTCAACATTTCATTACTTTGAATCTACTCCCTACACCAAAAGATTTCTTTTTAATTCGTTCATGACTACGTTTCAGTGTACACTGTCTAAAACGAACAGTATGATATCGCGAAGGTTGCTGACCAATTACTGGTCTTCACCTGACGTAAAAATTGTCTCTTTTCAATAGCAAAGATATATACAAATGTAGACGTTACTCAGTCCTTAGACCTTTTTTTTCTCACTCTGGTTCATTATCAAACGCTCATGAAATTTACAAAGAAAAAAAGAGTGTAAAACCTATCCTCTACTGGAAACTGCCCAAGACGCACAACGAACACATAAGTCATTAACTAACGGTTGTTATGTAGTGAGTCAGAATTGTAGGTTAGTACTTCCACCACTATTATACAACCGCAACTATTCACGAAGAGTCACTATCATCCGAGCCAACAAACCTTCGATCAAGAAATTTTGCAAAACCAAACAACTGTGTTGTTACAAGCACAAAAATCTTACTCTTAGAATAACTCCGCAGTCTAAAACGATTTTGAGTAATTACTTTTCCAGAAACCCTTGTGGATCTGTCATGAATTTCGGCAAAAAATTAACCGCCATAAAGCCACAGCATCGACTGTTCATGTCAAATTTACCAGAAATCTGACTTTCTCGTCACCAAACTGGACAGCCGTATGTAATTATTAACTCTACACACATCTACTTCACTTAACTTCCTTTACTAAAAACCACTGAAAGCCTAGAAAAGTAATAATTTCTAACAAGCTGTAAACTGACAGGTTTAAACAACACTCGATATTAATTTCAAATACAGCAGCTTTTATCCAAGACATCCTTATAACATCTGATAAAAACGACCAAAAATTGCCTCTGCGAAAATCTAATGACAAACTTCACCAAAACTGAACGTCACCTTCATTATCAATAAAATTATTTTATACAACTTCCCAGGATCCACGCAAATTTACAGCTTTCTTACGACGAGAACTGCAACTTGCTGTGAAGAAAATCTAGACAATAAAACTTCCAGCAAACCACAGAATTCAATGCTATCTTAACCAACCAAAATCCACTGATCAATTAAGTAGTTTTTTTCTTCAGTCTCAAAAAAAGCAACAATTTTCATTACCCTTCATCAATCACAAAATAAAACTATTCTCGACCAGTTGAAATATTATTTAAGTTAACACTAAAAACGCCGTGGATAAAGTCGCTAAACTCCGCAGACAAAGAACATCTTAAATAAAACAATCAGAAATAACCTCCGCTATTTTCAACATATTAATTTTAAATCATATCAATTACAATGGAGCAATTGACAGTTATGTGATAAAGATCCTGCTTTGTCAGTAAAGAATTAGCTGCATTTGTCAAAAGGACTTATGTGGTCATTCCAAAATTTTTGCACTAAATGGTTAGTGTGAAATTTGCTTCAAATACAGGCAATAAAAGATGTTCAATGAATAATTCAACAAAACTTGAGCAAAATGACCGACCTTGAACTGGCCCTCACCTGAAAAGTGAAAGAAAAAAAAAACATGTAAAGGTTTTTCCCTTTAAAGACAATCAGTAACAGATATTTTTGAATTACAATAATTATAAATTCACCCCTTAAAATCACCAACTATGATTTGGTTACAATTTCACTTAAAGAAAGAAATCAAAAGACGTTACTGTAATCACTCAAACCTTATTTAACAAAATATGCAACAACATAGTGATCACTAAAAGAAAACCTATTTTGATCCCAAATATCCTTCTACTTGAATTCTAATCAGAGAAATACTGCCAATGTAAAGTGGAAGGAAAAAACTATCTAAAATTATTGTCCGAAAAGGCAGAAGCGTGTGGAAAACGAGCAAATGAATAGAGTATCAGTTCTTCTTATCAATGTAAACTTTTTGTTCTCAATAAATTTCTGTAAACACGTCAGAAAACAAAAATCATCCTTCTTTATCATTCCTCTGAACAGTTGACCTACTGGTAGAGTTTACAGCCCATTTCTATACAGTTTTAATAGTCGCACGCGAAACAAAAAATTTTTTGCTACCAATAGTCTGTAAAATAAAGTATACTACTGCTGCACAAGTAACATCAGTAGAAAGAAGACTAATAATTGTAAATAATTGCTGTTTTGAGGCGGTAACAGAAGAGCATAAATGATATTGTCAGTTACCTGTTACTTAGAGCTGAAATCACCACAGCAGAACCTAAACCTCAGAAATCTGTTAATAGTAACTTTTTCTGTTCAGTTTTTCATGTTACTTTTTGTAGATCCATTTGTTGCAGAAAAATATTTAAAAATATGTAATTTTAATTTTGTTAGGAAAAACCTCATTATAAATTATATAGCCTCTATATTGACGGAGCGAAAAAAGAAAACATCGTCTGTCGCTCAATTAAACACCACAAACTTGGTGTTTTTCGCATTCTTCTGCAATGCAATTTTAGTGCCTCCTTTGTATTTGTTCCCCAGTTAGACTTCTCATAAGGAGACTGATGAGCATAGAAAACCACAAAGTCTAGAATTCCAGACTATGCTCTTGAGTATTTCAACTCCCCAATCTATTAGTTGTTTTGAACAATGGCTGCCACTACCCAAAATCCAAAGTAACTTCTCCATGCCGAAAAAGTAGTCTTCAATAAAACTAAAGTTGCAAAAGAACTTTAAAAAGCAATAAATAAATTTTAGAACTATAAAACAAAAAAATAAAAGCAAAAAAAAAAAAGAAAAATACCAGTAAAAAGACTAAATTAATGGCACTTTCCTAATATATCAATTAATGAAGACATAGCTATGCGTTAAATGTAACAATTTTCAGTTCCATCCTCGTCTTAGTTGAAACACAAAAATGACATTCGATCTGTTCCGAGCTAAAAGAATGTCATTCAAAAATGCTTATCAGTATCACATTTTTGACGTATGCTTTTATAGCAACTATGAGACTAAACTGAAATTATTTCTAAAGGTTTAAAATCCGTTTTTCTATTAGGGAACATTCGATTTGCTCTGGTAAAAACTACCCCTAATCATCTTCTCTCAAAAGAGAAATTATTGAAGAATCTGTTCCTACTAATATCAGTCAAGAAAATCCAATTTGAGATTCTCTGGAAAGGAAGTTCAGAACAGTGGAAAAACGACACAATGAAAATAGCTCATGAGTCACAAAGCAGCAAAACTCGAAATCCTAGACAAACTGCAGAATTTCGTACTCCAACTACTTTCTCAAAACAACAGTTATATGGTAAAATTTTAGCGAAACAGCTGTCCCTCTTCAAAAATACTGTTTCATTCCCTCTTAATGGCCTTAGCATTTTCAAAATTCCTTTAGGTCTACATTACACCAAAATAAGCATTTTTATCACCACCTAACAAAAAAGCATTCAAAAAAAGTGATCAGGAAAACAGGTTAAAACGACGATCCAAGTCGAGACAGATCTATTGCATAGATGTCAGAATGGAATTTGCAGCAGGTTCATGACTGCCGATAAAAAACCGTTGAGATTCAAACATTGTCACATACTGAACGGCATTGAGGTGACAACTGCCAACCGTATGAATGAAACATATTTCATTGAAAATTGTACTAAGAGCAAACGAGGCATCTAAAAAAATCAGAACTATAGCCACATCCAAGATCAAATCTATGTCTACTTGGGAAGCCTGATTTTTCCACAAATAGACGATCAGATCAACAGAAATTGGTGTAAAAGTTCACTTTAATGCTGCTCAAAGATTGCAAGAAAAGCTCACAGACCGATAACAAAATAAATTTATAAAAATTTGTCGTTAATTTCAAAAAAAATGTTCATACTACAAGACAGAATTTTTTTTGCTCTTAGATCCTTTAATACTAATATTGTCTTCATAAAAATCTACCCACTATACCAGGTAAATAAAAAACTACTAGATTCTTTGAACAACTACTGTTAATCCTCGGTGATAAACTTTTTCTTGACACAATGATAACAGCAAATTTTACACGATATAATTTAGAAAATAGCCCCTATTCTAGAAACAACCCATATAAACCTTTGGAGGAAATTCTTTAAACGTATGCACTCATCTTATAATATAAACACTAAAGATATTCTTATACGATTCGCTAAAAAGGCTGAAAAAAAAATGTAGTTAAAATCGTCCCTCAACGATAGAAGCTTTAATTAAATTGCAAAATTGTTTCACTTCCAGAAATTCAACGACTACATAGCTTTCTTATTCATTTAAAAAAATATATATATTCCTCGATAAAATATTAGGTACACAACTGATATCTTTAATAGATAATGAGACATCATATTCAGCAGTGCACATTCAATCAATCACCAAAAAAAATTAAGAAACCTCTTTGAATGCTAAACCACTTTTATTCTAGTTTATTATTGTTTTTCTCGAATTCCTTGTCATTTTAAGCTCATACTGGTTAAGAAATACATACAAAAGTACTTTCATTTTACAAAAAGCCAAAGTGACCAAAAAAATTCCATTTATGACTTTTGTAGTCAACAAAATCGATAATTAGGACCTTTGTAAAAGTTGATAATGATTTCAGTTCGTAAAACTGTAATGACCACCTAGATAACATGCCGACTGTATTCAGCAAAAGAAACAAGACAAAAAAAAATTTTTTTTTTTGTTCAGATTAATGACTGATTACATCATAATCGAATGTATTTCTCTAAGTAACTCATACGGGTTTTTTTCCACCCATAAATCACTAGTCGTTTCCGACTGTGCTAATGTACACAGTAAAATCAATGTTTTCATATACCAAAATTTCCCAGTATTTTGAGTATTTTGTTTGTGGAGTAAAAATTACAATAAACAACAACGTCAACAATCACATCACTACTACCAGCACCAGTCATCAGCAAGAACAACGATCAATTCTAACATGACACAGCGGTTGGTGCCTCCAAAACACATGCTAAAGAAATTGTCCAATCGCAAGAATCAGCAGCTATGATACTAGAAGCATGTATAAAAAAATAATCGGATTCAAAATGAAAAGACACAAACAAGCACATCAAGATACAGAAAACAAGGAAATACAGCTTGAAAGGTGTTTCAGGAAACAACTGTAATTAGTTATCGCCCTAAGGCGAAATGCTGTTATTGCTTAAAAGCAATTCGATGAAATTTAAAAAATTCCTCGCTTGGCAGGAAGCCAGTTTATCCCCGCTCAGTGCCCCGGCATCACCAGTTGATTTTGTGCAATTCCAACCACAGAGCGGTTATACGTTGTCGTTGGTTTAGGGAGTCGGGTTGTTGTTGTCGCTGTTGGACAGAAGTCGTTAGGGACCGTCGATCGATTTTTGCGTTCTTCTCCCAACTGCTAAAGAAAAAAAAAAAAGGACAAGAAGAAGAAAGGAAAAAAAGAGTAAGACGAAAAATAGAGGAGAAAAACTTACTTGCTGCCCAGGAACAAACTGGTTTCGTTATTTTTTTCAGCTTTTATTTTTTCTTTTTAGTTTTTCAGTACTTTTTAATTTTTTTTCCATTTTTGTAAAAGACTCTAACTTTTAATGCTGTTCCACTGGTAGCGTTTGCAGCACTTTCTTCTTATATTTTTTCTCTGTTCAAAAGATATTTTTCCGTTACTGTATCATTTTTTGCTGCTTTATCGGTTTTTCGGTATTTTTTTCCGCTTCCCTTGTTTTGTTCTTTTTGATTTTAGCATAAAGCTGCTATGTGGTTTTTGATCTTATGAAGGAAAAAGAAGGGAAACAAAAACGTTAATTCATTTTTCCAACTTTTCTTCCCCACCTTTGCTCTTTACCGTTCGTTTTGCTTCACACAGCGTCATTCGCGGTTGTACTTGGAGTTTTACTGTAAAAACTATTACCTAGCGCATTGGTGAGCTTGCCTTGTTTGTTTTTTTTCTTTTGCTTGAAGCCTTGTATCACCTTGCATTTTAAACCATTTTCATAAAAAGGGTTTCACTGCTTCAGTGTACAGCCAAAGTGTAGATGTTTGTTTGCGTGTTGAGCATAATTAGGAAAAAAAACCCATTGAAAATTGTGAAATTTTGTGTCCAGCCATAGACACTTAAAGATAATCGTGTAGAAACAACAGTTTAATGCAATTTCACCACGATTTCCGTCGTTCAGGGCATGGCAGCTATTGAATCGACGAAATAAAAAAAAAATTTAGTGAGGCTGTTTGAATCTGGACTACTGGGAGTACTTGAACTATAAGGTTGATATGGAAGTCCAGAAAGTTTAATGAAAACCTAGTTGGAGATCATCCAGTCGTATATAAAATTTTTCCGCCCTCTTTCTCTCCTGGAAAAGAAAATTGGTTAAAATCAATTTGCGCACAATTACTGACGAGCCTATGGTTGAATTTGGAGTCATTCGCACATTTTTCAGCGACCACCTTTGGTTAATTGGAAAACTTTCGGAGGTGTATATATTGATCCATCGAAAGATGGCAAAATGTGTATAGAGATTGTCGTAGTAACTGCATTGGTAAAACGTGTTTATGCCGAACTGCGTTATGGAAAATTAAATTTTAAAGCAGACATGATAAATCTTTCAAAACAGATAGATCTGTATGAATATGTATTGTTACTTCATATTTAAATATTAATATGCAGAATATCTTTTTTTATTGTCATTTTAATTTGGTTCACCAATGAAGCTTCCATCATGGTCAGAGCGATCTGTCTCGCATAGGTGTCTGTCCGTATTAATGATTGGTGTGCTTTTTTTTCTTTTTGTTTGCTCTTTCTGTAGCTAGTTTTTGAGTAAGACAAAGTGTTGTGAAAGCGATCGTAGTGTTGTGTACTTTGTGTGGGTATTAGTGCCTTGAAAATGATACTGATATATAGATGTGTGTTAAGGAGGGAAAGGAGTCTATTTTGTTGCTTGAATAAATGCATATACCTTGGCCGTATTTCCATTTGGCGACGGTAGTGAGTTACGAAGAACAGCTGCTAAATGAGTGTACAGTTTCTAATATCGATATTAAATATCTATAAGGTATTGAACAGGTATTGATTTTTTTTCATATTGCAGTTCTTTTTTTTTCTAATTTTTTTAAGAAAAAAGTTTTCTTTTCAAAATGTTTAGCCGTCAAAAATGAGCTATCTCAGTCGTCATTTTAGAGATGTTAGCTCAATGCTTTCAGCTTTTTTAATAAAAGAAACAATCAATTTGTACTGAGGAATGTTAATGCCGTCATAGGGCTATTGTAAGTTATGCTTTTTGGGATTTCCCATAAAGTATGTTTTGTTAACAGAGTTATTTTGAATGAATATCGTCATAGATCTTAATACTTGACTTGTTACTTTGAGATTATAGCAATGAATACATTGGGTACGCATTTTTTGCTCCTTTTTTCTTTTTACTGATTTCCTAACTTTAGCATGTTGTGGCGGCGTTCGGAAAAACTTCATTCAGCTGGTTTATTGACTTAAAATGAGGGTTTTTGGCTTTGGTAAAAAAATTTTGTTGAATAGAAGTGCTGAACGACCTCACTTATTTAATAAAAAGAGATTTTTTTTTTCTTTTGTCTGCTAATGGGTATGTTCCAAAAATCTGTTTACAGGACAAAGAAAATGTGGCATGAAAAATTGACTGGTTCTGGGCGGTAACGGATGTTTTATGGATTTTCGCATTTAGCACTGGGGATGATGAATTTTTCAAAAAAAAATCACTGGGTGTTTTTTGAGAAATTATAAATGTGATAAGTGTTGTTCACTGTAGATTACAACATTTGTTGTAATTGTTTTAACATAATTTCTATGAATGTACAAATATATTTAAGGGTATGAAGTTCAGTTTTCTTTCTTTCTGTCTACATAGTCTGTTTTTACTTCAGTCCCACTGGAAATTTTTTTTTCACAATTCTTCTTGTTGTATTCTGATCAATTTTTGGTTTTTATAGATTAAACTTATAGTTATAATTGGCAGCATAGTTTTTTTTTTAAATTTTTTCTTTTTATAAGCATTGATGTTATTAATCAAACAGAAATAATTATGAACAGTTTTAGTAGCAGTATGAGATCCAGTTCATACTTGAATGCTTGATGATTTCAGTGTATATACTGTTAACTATAGTTTCGGTAATTAGGAGAAGAGTTATTATTGCATTTTTTGTACAGTCAAAACTGTTTGTTGAAAGCTGTGAAGGAGAAAACTTGCAATAATTTTGTTTTTGTTTTTCTGACAGTTGAAGCGGAGTAATTTAATTAGCATGAAGCGCATTTTTTTCTAATTAACTATTGACTTCTTTAGTTTATAGAAGTATTTTTAGTTGAAAAGTGTTTCATATTGCCAAATTGGGTAGTACCAGATAAAACAGTTTCTTTTTTTTTTTTTTTTTGCAAAATCCTTTATTTGGCAATGACGGTATTATTTTGCCAGCAGTAGTCGTCAGGCGTATTCCTGTCTTTGAACGAATTCTTCACTTGCTGCTGTTCGTGTAATCTAAGAACAGTTGTGTACTAGTTGAAATAGCGTTTGCATTCTGCCATTTATATTTTTTGCTTGTAATTTAGACAGACTAAATATTTATATGCCTTTCTTAATAAAGAACTAAATAATCATTTGGAAAGCGTTTTAAATTCAAAAACTTGTCGAATCTTACTATAAAAAAGTATGATACAAATCTATTAGTAAAAAATATGCAGTTGGTTCCATTATTAATTTGGCAGCAATAGACTCTTAATAATAAATTATCAGTTATTTGGAATGTTCTTCTTTAATTTACGCCAACTCAGTATCTTTTTCTTTTTCAGTACGACCAGTCTAATGCTGAAGGTGTTTGGTAAAAACACAGGAATTACTTGTTTGTAGGAGGTCCTTAACGAGATGCAAGAGTTGGATATTGACGGGTATACGGTAGCGTATCTGCTAACCTTTTCATTGTGGGTGAGTTTTTTAATTATTCGGCTCCATCTGGTTTTTTTACCATTTAATAATCCACTGCAAATCTAGTTTTAAAATTCTTTTCATATGCTATTCCGTTTCTTTTTTTCTATAGAGTAAGTCATGTCAGGTTTACTTTCAGATTTTGATAACTTTAGCTTTGATTGCTCAACGTCAAATTTTTCGCTTTCGGAAAAATAATATGCGTCGAGAACAGAACTCAATTGTCGGTGCAGGTCTTTCCAAGGTTGGTTCAAAAAACCATTTTGATTTGTTACCCTAGGATTTTTCCGTTCTTATTTCATTTTTTACATTTTTGTTCCACTTTCTGGTAAAGCATTTTGTAACTTGGAGGTTCTTAGAATAATAGTTGATTATAAGCCTTTAAATATTGATTTGTAAGAAGTGAAAGTTACTAGACCTGACTACAGAGTAAAAGGATTGAACTGAACAAAGGCATCGATGCAGTCTACCAGTTTCAATTACTGCGTGCTCCGAAATTTACGGAAATAGGAACCATCAGTGAACGTAAATTTTGAATTAGTTGCTCTTTTTTTTGCATCCTAATTAACTTTTTTGGGCATCGGAAAATTTTAGTTGTTTTTTATAAACGTAAAGTTTTTTAATTTCCAGGGGAGATTTTCTGACTGTTATTTAAGTTTCAAAAAAAATATATTATTTGCAAACAATAATAAGTGGTCATGTTTTCGGTATCATGACAGGATCAAATTTACAAGGTATTTACAAGTTATTGCAGAAATATTGATGGTGAAGGGAGGTGGAGTGGAGTTCATTTTGTATTAAGAAATTTTTGTTCTAGTCGAGGAAGGAGCTACTGAAGAGTTCTTATATTAATGGGAAGCAAGTTTTAAATATGTTTTATACTGGACGGTATTTGAAATGTTTGTTCATTTTCTCATATGCTAGATTTGTATGAAATTTTTCAGATGCCAATGCTCCTTACATTTACCGAATGATTGCACTAGATGAATTACGTGAGATAGGTATGTTGGCTCTGAAATTGCATTTTTTTTTTTTTTTTTTTTTTTTTTTTTTTT